TAACCACTGTGCCAGTATGGCTTCCTTCCTTCCTTCCTTCCTTCCTTCCTTCCTTCCTTCCTTCCTTCCTTCCTTCCTTCACAAGTAATACAGACTTACATACTGCTTCACAGTCCTTTACAGCCCTCTCTAGGCAGTTTATAGAGTCAGCCTCCTGCTTCCAACAATCTGGGTCCTCATTTGACCCACCTTGGAAGGACGGGTGGCTGAGTCAACCTTAAGGCAGTCAGGATGAAACTCCTGGCAGTGGGCAGAGTCTGCAATGCTGCATTCCTACTATTGCGAACCATGGAAGAGAGGGAGGGAGGGAGGGAGGAAGGATATTGAGAGTGAAAGACAGGAAGGAAGGAAGGAAGGAAGGAAGGAAGGAAGGAAGGAAGGAAGGAGAGAGAAAAGGAATAACAATAGCACTTAGACTTATATACCGCTTTACAATAGCACTTAGACTTATATACCACTTTACAGTCCGCTCTAAGCAGTTGAGAGTCAGCATATTCCCCCCCCCCAACAATCTGGGCCCTCATTTTACCCACCTCAGAAGGATGGAAAGCAGAATCAACCTTGAGTCACTCAGGATCGAACTCCTGGCAGTGGACAGCGTCAGCCTGCAATGCTGCATTCTAACTGCTGTGCCACCACAGCTCATAGCAGAATGGCTTGTTAGCAAATCAGGCTAGTGAGCCTGGTGAGATTCGAACTGCCAAATTGCAGTCAGCCGAAAGGAGCCTGCAGTACTGCACTCTAACCACCGCACCACCGCGGCTCTTTCTAATCTTTCGAATAAAATAAACATTGAAGCGAGAAAGCTGTGGGCGCATAGGATGTCACTGCCTCTCACTGAATGTTTTCTGTCCCCATAAAGCGTTCCAATTATTTACACCGGCAAGTGCTCCAATTTGCAAGCCAGTATCCAAATGTGAGGGTCACATCCTGGCGCATGGCTACCATCTGGGGAGGAGCCAGTCTTCTATCCACCTACCTCCAGAGCATGAAGGAGCTCTTGGAGATGAAGGACTGGCCGTGGGACTTCTTCATTAACCTCAGCGCTGCGGACTATCCTATCAGGTAAGACAGCCGGTTGTCTGCTGACTGGTTGCAAATAATACAGGTGCTTTTTTCAGGAGGCAACTGTACTTTCTTGTTTTTTCTTTTGAAGACATTTCACTTCTCATCCAAGAAGCTTCTTCAGCTCTGATTGGATGGTGGGGAATGGAAGGGTTGATACTCCTTGCAGACAGCTGGTCGTTTGTGTTAGGAATATGATTCTAACCGTTGGGTTGGCAATATATAAAACATGTAACATGTTGTACCTGTTTCCTTAAATCATACTGTAAAATGTGATTGGTTGCTGTTTTCCTCAATCAGCCATAAGAGGGAGCCAGAGTGTCTGTTAGCTCTCTCTCTGTTTCGTTAGATACTGGGCTGATCTGATCTGAGTGCCGTGAGCTATTGTAAGTTTTGCAACTGTAAGCAAACTTTGTGTACCGGACTGATTATATGTTACTGGAGCCCTGAGTTACCTAGACGTTCAACCCCAACAATTTGCATCCTTGTAGAGGGTCAGTCAAGCACTTGGAGGTTTATCTCTGTCCTCAGGGTCACCTGAGTTAGTGCTCCGGTTCCTGTAATCTGCAATTTTCCCCCCTCTGGAAATCCATTCCTCCTCCCACACCATTCCAAGGTTGTTCATCCAAAATTGTGTAGCTAAAAGTCTGTAGAGATTCTCAGTCATCCAGGTCATGGTTGCCCCAAAGGTGGGTTCAGGATGGGTTTCAGTGAAAATGGCAGAGAAACCAGGTTCAAACAGTAACAATTAGGGATGCTCTCAGGTTGATGGAGCCTACTAGGTATCTTAAACTTGGCAGGGACTTAAGGCACCTATTTTGCTTCTTAAATTTAGTATCCCTCTCCAACTCTGCAATTGCATGCCCTCCGATTGGGCTAGGTTAGGGGTCAGCAACCTTAAACCCTCAAAGAGCCACAAAGGTCCTAACCGGAAGCCCCCCCCCATTCAATTCTGGAGCTGATCGGAAGTCTGGTTCCCCCACCATAGAGTCTCCTCCTAGTGTGGTATCCTTTTTCCTCTACCTGTCCTAACTGGAAATCCTATCAATTGTGGAGCCGACTGGCAACAGGGAGCCGCAGCAGAGGGACGAAAGAGCCACATGCGGCTCCAGAGTTGACCCTTGGGCTAGGTGAACAAACTGTCTTATATTAATACAGTGCCTAGAGAACACAGTCTAACGATCAATAGTATATTAGCTAGCAGAGACATAAAGCAGTTCGTAGGCTACTGAGGGATGGAACATCCTTGAACATCCTCCATTTGGGCTTAATAGAGTCTGATGGCCGGCTTGTGGATGGTATATCTTCAAGGAAAGGTCATACCCCCCCATAATAGGCAAGTCATGGGTGTTGCTTGGGACCATCAGAAGATGCATCTACGAATTAGTTATGCTCCAGAGATCAGGCGGTTTTCTGTTTGGCACCGTAAATCTGCTGGCCGGGGAAAACCATCCGTCTTGTTTATTCTAGAGGAATTTAAACAGGGCGCAACAGTGTCCTTAAGATGTAGGTCAACCAAGTTGCTTACTTCCTTTCTGCTCCTCCATGCCCTCGAAATGAGGAGGGAGGGAAACAAGGAGGTGTCCAGCCGATGATTCTGAGAAATACTTCTTAGAAGCAGAAAAACAGGGACATCGTCAAGTCCGTGCTGGCTGAACTCCAGCATCTCCACCTGAAAACGGTTCAGGAAGTCTTGGAATGATGCTGCCCATCGGGATAGAGAAACTGGAGCATGGGACAGTTCTCTGATTTCCGTAGTAGGCCATCTCTGGTACTTCACATGCTACTGAGTTACATTCCCCACCTGTTCTGAGCTAGGCTTCCCCAAAACGCACGAGGCAGAGTCCTGGTCCCGACAAAACCCCTTTTATTAAACGAATGTGAATTCCTCTCGCTCACATTCAGCAAAGGCCTGGCAAACAGTCTTTCAAAGGAGTATTTATGACCACAGACCTTATCTATCTTGGAAAGCTGCCATGTCAATATTTTCCAAATGAGGCGCTGTGCAAGGAAAGACTTGGGCACAGAGTCTCTGAGATTCACGGACAGATCTTCACACTCCTGAAAGAGCCAAGGTGGCGCAGTGGTTAAATGCAGCACTGCAGGCTACTGCTAGATCAGCAGGTCAGCGGTTCAAATCTCACCGGCTCAGGGTTGACTCAGCCTTCCATCCTTCCGAGGTGGGTAAAATGAGGACCCAGATTGTTGGGGGCAATATGCTGACTCTCTGTAAACCGCTTAGAGAGGCCTGAAAGGCCTATGAAGCGGTATATAAGTCTACTGCTATTGCTATTGCTATTGAAATTAATCTAACAACCAAATGAACACATTGTTTCCTGCAAAAGCCCCCTCCCCTTTCCCTCCTCTTTTATTTCCTATGGGAGGGAACATTCACCATCCACCTGTGACTTTGCTCCCAAGTCTACCCTGATTTCTGAGGTGTTCTTTTCTTCTGGCAGCTCTGCGCATGCGCACACTGGGAACAGGCTCCAGCTGTTCCTCTGCCTCATTGCTGTCTAGCTCCGTAGGCACCTGATCACTGCCAGATGGCCTCGGGCCAGACTCTGCCTCCCACACAGAGCCCTCATCAGAGCCTTCCCCAGACTCCAGGACTGGCCCATGTTCCTCCCCAACCTCCTCACTGTCCGAATCTGCTGCCAGCTGTGCTGGCCGCTGGCGGGCCACAACAACTGTACCCGAGACAGACCTGCCCTTCACCCTGGGCCTCACACGATTGTGACTGGTCCTTCTCTTCACTAGACTAGCCATCCCCAGTTCCTGCAACCATTCTTCATATTTTTTAGTCTCCAGTCCCCTAATCATCTTAGTTGATCTTCTCTGCGCTCTTTCTAGAGTCTCAAACATCTTTTTTATAGTGCGGTGACCAAAAGCCAAAAGGATGTGAGGCAGTTTGGGACATCAGCATTATTTAAAATCTCTTTAGAAGTTAAACTGGGGTTTCCATTATGTTCATCTGCCTCAAAATGTTGGCCTGCTGTACCATTGACTTGTCCCCATGGGAATCCGGGGACATTCCAAGAATTGCAAAAAATTAAAAATTAAAAAAATGGGACTCCAAGGGCCACAAGCAACCTGGAGTTGAGGAGGCCCATCCTTTGATAACCTGAGCAATGGTTCCCTAGCAACCCCTCTGGTCTCCTAGCAACCGGTTTGCTGAGCCATACGGCCTCTTATCCTGGATCTTCTGTGGTTCTGTCAGTAGTGATTGAATGGGTTGTGCAAATGACTCCGTTGATGTCATCAATATTGATGCTGTTTTTCTGTTTAATTCCAAATAATTGTATCTTGTCGGCGTACGAGAAAAAACAGGAGACAAGGGAAAACAAACCAATCCAACCCAAAATAAGGGGGGAAACAAGAATATAATAAAGCCAATTTGTTTATTTATTTCGTTGATCTATCACGAACAACGTGTAGCTCCTGGTCATTTATCTTCATGAAACACCCATTGAAAACAGCACAGTATTAAGAGCAACACCGTCCAACGCAAGAATCAAAACATAGGTAGTCCTCCACTTACAACTCTTCATTTAGTGACCGTTGAAAGTTACAACGGCATTGAAAAACACGACTTATGCCCGTTTTTCATACCGGCGACCGTTGCAGCATCCCCATAGTCCCTTGATCAAAATTCAGCTGCTTGGCAACTGTTTCATAGTTATGACGGTTTCAGGGTCCCCTGCTCCCCTTTTGCGACAAGCTCAGTCAACTGGGGAAGCCAGATTCACTTAACAACCCTGTTACTAACTTTAAGAAAAAGGCAACCGTTCGCTTAACAACGGCGGCAAGCCAAGCCATAAAACTCGCTTAACAAGTGTTTCACTTGGGAACATAGATTTTTAGGCTCAATTGTGGTCGTAACATGAGGATTACCTGTATTAAAGCAAGGAAGACTTGAACCAAAGTCAGGAGGGCCCACCCAACCATTGAGCTTCTTCTACTTCCGAAGGTCCTACAGAAGAACTCAGTTTCAACTATTATTATTATAATTTTTTTGCAAAGATGCCAGAATTGGCCCAAACTAAACCCATGGGTTGGTTGGTTGGTTTTTAGCTTTTAGTTGTTTTTAGTTGTTTTTATTCGTTTTTAGTTGTTTTTAGTTGTTCTTAATTGTTCTTAGTTGTTCTTAGTTGTTTTTAGTTGTTTTTAGTTGTTTTTAGTTTTAAGTGTTTTCAGTTTTTAGTGTTTTTAGTTTTTAGTGTTTTTAGTTTTTATGTTTTTAGTTTTTAGTGTTTTTAGTTTTTAGTGTTTTTAGTTTTCAGTTTTCAGTTTTTAGTTTTTAGTCTTTGGTTTAGCTTAGTTTTAGCTTAGTTTAGTTTGGTTTAGGTCAAGGGACATGGTGGTTCAGTGGCTAAGACGCTGAGCTTGTCGATCAGAAAGGTTGCCAGTTCGACAGTTCAAATCCCTATCGCCATGTAACGGAGTGAGCTCCCGTGACTTGTCCCAGCTTCTGCCAACCTAGCAGTTCGAAAGCACGTAAAAAATGCAAGTAGAAAAACAGGAACCACCTTTGGTGGGAAGGGAACAGTGTTCCGTGCGCCTTTGGCGTTGAGTCACGCTGGCCACCTGACCACGGAGAACGTCTCCGGACAGCGCCGGCTCTTCGGCTTTGAAACAGAGATGAGCACCGCCCTCTAGAGTCGGGAACGACTAGTGCATATGTGCAAGGAGAAGAACCTTTACCTTTTACCTTTTAAGCGAGAGATTTAAGTGAATTTGGCTGCATATTGTGATCTTTCTTGCTATAGTTGTTAAGTGACTCACTGCTCCTTTTAGTAACATGGTTGTTAAGTGAATCTGGCTTCCCCCATTGACTTTATTCATCAGAAGGTCAGAAAAGAAGGTCACATGATAACCAGTTGCCAAGCATTTTTCCCTGGCTGTATAAACAGAGGCAC